AAAAAAAAAAAGGCTATCTGTCTGTACACAAAGCTTTCAGGGTATTAAAAAATCATATCTGTGACTTGCAACTGTGGTCCAGCTGGGTTATTTTCTCTGACGTCCTGCTCCTAAGCTATGCCACTATCTAGACTCTGTTTGTGTTAAGATCATAAATACTGGCTCAGCTCTTGTAGCACAGTACTTACAGTGCCAGCCACATACATTGAAGTTGGCAGGTTCTAACCTGGCCGGGATAGCTAACCAACAATGACAACTGCAACAAAAAATAGCCAGGCATTGTGGCAGGCGCCTGTGGCCCCAGCTACTTGGGAGGCGGAGGCAGAGGCAGGAGACTCGCTTGAGCCCAGGAGTTGGAGGTTGCTGTGAGCTTTGATGCCACAGCACTCTACCCAGGGGGAAAGCTTGAGGCTCTGTCTCAAAAAAAAAAAAAAAAAAAAAAATTCCTTCATAGTGTTCTATATTGTGAATTAACATGTTTCTATTTTGTAAGTGAGGATACTGGTGCCCAGAGGTCTTCAGAAAGTTACCCTACATCATGCCACTTGGTAATAAACCTGAGATGATTAAGTTAACTTCAGAATTCATGCTATTTTCTTTGAGAAGTTGATGAAATCCTCCTCAGAATAAAAGGCACATAATCAGAACTTTTTTGCATTCAATTTTAAGTTTCAGGAATACCCAATCCCTTCTGCAGATTATCTCCCCCCAGGTGAGGGCCCTATATGCTGAACTATGAACAACACTAATGGGTTTGTTTTCCACTTAGGCCAGTTAGTTTCTATTCTGGAGTCAATTGTCCCATCAATTTTGTAAGTACACATACAGGAAGTCCCCAAGTTATGTACATCTGACTTATGTACATCTCAGACTTATTAACAGAGGCTATTATAAGTAATAGGTAAAGGTACCAATTCCAACTTACATACAAGTTCAACTTAAGAACAAACCCACAGAACCTATCTCCTTCATAACTTGGGGACTGCCTATATCATGTAAATAATTTTTCTCTTGCTTTGGAATCAGTAAAACTTGTCAGACTCTTGGAATAGTGTGAGTCAGTGATAGGGCTCCATCTTTTTGGAATGGAAGAATTCCAGGCTTCCCTTGAACTATTCATTCTTGTGTTCCAGGTAGCCACATGGGAGAAGCAGATCTACACGTGTTGTCGAGATGGTCTTGTGCGACGCTATCAACTTTCTGACTTCTGATCTCTTGGAAAGAGGAGTCCCAAATGTTTGACCCTGATCAAGAATGAGCAGAAACATCTTAGTCTTTACCAAGGACCATGGCCCTTAGTGTCTTGGAAATTACAGTCAGCTGTACTGGCCCACATGGAACTATCCCTAGACCTACTTTGAACTGTGTAAGATGCTCATCTGTGTTACTGCATTCTGCCAACTCTCTTTGTATAAACTCACCCCAGCAACACAGGGCAAGGATATGGATGTTTCCAGTTTGTTCTTATACCAATTGTATTAAACGTTTACAAGGACCAGAGGACTATAAAAGCTGTTCTCTGGAAGAAATAAAATATGTTTAGAGGTACCAGAATTTGAAAAACTTTTTAAAATGCTTTTACTCTAGCATATAGTCAAGAGGAGGGAACTCCTTCCTCAGTGCTCCTTGTTGGCCTGGTCACAGAGAAGGATTGCTTGGCAGTAGCAAAAAATGTCCTATAAGCGTGACCTGGGAGAGATTCTTACACAGTTGGTAATGAACTGTCTCAGTTTGCCTGGAACTGAGTGGTTTCTGTGACATGAGGCTTGAGTGTCAAAACTAGGGCCCAGGCACACCAGCGTGGTTGGTCAGCCTGTATGTAGATGAAGTAGTCAACTCACAGTCATTGTAAAGGCAGTGGCTATCAAAGTGTGGTCCCTGGAACAGCAGCGTCAGTATCACCTGGGAACTTGCTAGAAATTCTTGGAACAACCTTAAACCTGACTCACAAATTCTATGGGTGCATCCAGCAGTCTGTATTTTAATAGGCACTCCAGGTGATTCTGTCCACAATAAAGTTTGAGAGCCACTGACCTAGAGAAAGAGATGGCAAAGGGCACTTTAGTCATAGCTGGAACTCAGAGCTCATAGGATGGCAAGCTTGGTCTATAGCAGCGGTTCTCAACCTGTAGGTCACGACCCACAGGAACTGTATTAAAGGGTTGCAGCATTAGGAAGGTTGAGAACCACTGGTCTATAGAAATTGATCTAGACTGATTGGCAAGGCCCAAATAGCAGAGAAGCTTGAATATCTGGTAAGGAGCTTGGACTTCCTTTGGTTGGCAGTGGGAAACCACAGAAGGGTTTTAGGTAGCATAAGGATGGAATCATAATGTAGGTATTCTGTGGTTTATTTTCACTTAGCGTCTCTAGTATTTTTCCATCTCAGTACATTTAGACCTGCTTCATTCTTTTAATAATGTCCATAGTATGGATACCATATAATTTATATTTTAGAGATTATTTGTGAAAGGTTTCTTAGGGGATGCAACACTTTAGCTGGAACATGTAGGCTAAGATTTTGATTTATTTAAGGGAGGACGGTAATTCCTGGCTAGGATAATCATATGGTTGACAGAGTTCTTAAAGGTGTATTTTCATATAATTTTTATAATTATACTGTGGCCTGTAAGTGGTGAGACTCAAAGAGATGAAGTGATACACCACTGGTACTAGAGAACAAAAACTTTAATTTTAAATCCTTTTTTTTTTCCTAAAACACCCTGTTGCTTATGCCTAAGCCAAAGTGTAAAAATAAAGTATTGAAATTCATTGAGTATCTATTAAGTGTTTACTCTGTCCTGTGTACCATACTAATACATTTAATCCTTGCAACACTATAAAAGCAAATGTTATTATTCCTTTTTATTCAGATAAGGATATTCGAGAAATTAAACACCAGACTTGATTTGGACCTTGGTCGGACTCCAAGGACTGCACCTCCTCTGCTACACCATGTAGTTATATAGAAGCAGATAGCAAGAGACCTCTATGACTAGAGCAATTTCTTTTCAAGGAGTGTTTTGTCATAGGGTCAGGTAGACCAGAAGGGACATATTCCAGAGCTTAGAAACATTGAAACGTGTTTCTAAGGACGAAAGACCATGCACAGTGGCTCACACCTATAATCCTAGCACTCTGGGAGGCTGAGGTAGGAGGACTGCTTGAGCTCAGGAGTTTGAGGCCAGCCTGAGAAAGAGTGAGACTCCCTCTAGTCTCTACTAAGTTAGCAAAATACTAGCCAGGTACGTTTAGACCCAGCTGCTTGGGAGGCTGAGGCAAGAAGATCTCTTGAGCCCGAGAGTTTGAGGTTGCTGTGAGCTATGATGCCACAGCACAATCACCCAGGGTGATTGAGTGAGAAGTTATCTCAAAAAAAAAAAAAAAGAAAGAAAGAAAGAAAAAAGAAAAGGGGGCAGTGCCTGTGGCTCAAAGGAGTAGGGTGCTGGTTCCATATGCCAGAGGTAGTGGGTTCAAACCCAGCACCGGCCAAAAACTGCCAAAAAAAAAAAAGGGAAAGAAAGAAAAGGGCAGCACCTGTGGCTCAGTGGGTAGGGTGCCAGCCCCATGTCCTGAGGGTGGTGGATTTGAACCTGGCCCCGGCCGAACTGCAACAACAACAAAAAAATAGCCGGGTCTTGTGGCAGGCACCTGTAGCCCCAGCTACTCGGAAGGCTGAGGCAAGAGAATCACCTAAGCCCAGGAGTTGGAGGTTGCTGTGATCTGTGACACCACAGCACTCTACCAAGGGTGATAAAGTGAGACTCTGTCTCTTAAAAAAAAAAAGAAAGAAAGAAAAGAAAAGAATTGGATGAGCTGCTATCAGTTACATGCGGAATTTAGGGAAGCAGAAGCATAGAGGTGTTTACAGAGGCTGGGGTAGAAGGAAAATGGTCAGATGGTACCCAGTCTCAGGAGAAACATGTTGCTTTTTGACATCTGTTGCATAATGTGGTGAATATAGTTAACTATAGAGTATTGTACATTTCAAAATTGCTAACAGAGCAAATTTCAGATGTTCTAACCACAAAAAACGTTACACATTTAGAGTGATGGGTATGTTAACTACATTGATGTAATTATTGCATACTGTATACAATAAATCATAATATTTGTACCATCTAAGTAGATATAAATTGCACTTTATAGTAGAAAAAAATTCTTTTAAAAGAAGTAAACAGCACGAGGGAGGATATGACTGAGTGCACAGAGCAAGTGAATGTCTCCAATTCCCATTGCATGGCTCACTCTTCTACATTGCCATCAGGTTCATGAGCACCTTTCTTGGGTCTCCAGAGGGATGTCTTGCTTGATTGGGATAAATGTAGTGACCCTTGACAGCTGCTCTGAAATCCAGACCAACAGGGGCCAGCTCTCAGGTGCTCCATAACTTTGTGTCCTGTGAATGGAAGGCGCCCCAGTTTTCAGCAGAAAAAGCCTTTTCTTTTTTCTTTAAGGTTAAGGAGTGCATTCTGGGTAAGGCAGGATAGGACAATTTCCATTCACTGCGATACAGACCCAGAGAAACTGTGCTAAGCCTTGTTTCTGGCTTCTAATGCCCCCTTGTGACTTTTTGTGAGAAATACTTCTCTCAGCTCTGAAAAGCTGGCAGCTATTGAGCACAGGCCTCACGTTGGTCTCACAATACTTAAAGAATTTTTTGTCAAAGAGGTCTCTTTATGCATCTGTTGTCTATCTTTTTTCTGTTTCATTTATATTTATATATATTTTTTGAGACAGAGCTTAAAGCTGTCACCCTGTGTAGAGTGTTGTAGCATCACAGCTCACAGCAACCTCAAACTCTTGGGCTTAAGCTATTCTCTTGCCTCTGCCTCCCAAGTAGCTGGGACTGTAGGCACCCGCCACAATGCCTTGCTATTTTTTAGTTGTAGTTGTCATTGTTGTTTGGCAGGCCCAGGCTGGATTTGGACCTGCCAGCTCTGGTGTATGTGGCTGGCACCCTAGCCGCTGAGCTACAGGCACCGACTCTTGTTTATATTTTTAGAGACAGTGTCTCTGTCTTCCAGAGTGGAGTATGATGACTCAATAATAGTTCACTGTAACCTTGACCTCCTGGGTTCAAGTGATCCTCCCATCTCAGACTCCTGAGTAACTAGGTATGGGTCACCACACCTGGCTAATTTTTTTTTGAGATGGGGTCTTGCTGTTTCCCAGGTCTCCTGACCTCAGGCAAGACACTGTGGCTCACACCTGTAATCCTAGCACTCTAGGAGGCCAAGGCAGGTGGATCACTGAGCTCAGGAATTTGAGACAAGCCTGAGCTAGAGTGAGACCCCATCTCTAAAAATAGCGAGGCATTGTGGCAGGCACGTTTAGTCCCAACTACTTCGGAGGCTGAGGCAAGAGAATTGCTTGAGCCCAAGAATTTGAAGTTGTGAGCTGTGACGCCATGGCACTCTACTGAGGTCAACAAAGTGAGACCTTGTCTCCAAAAAAAAATGAAACTCCTGACTTCAAGGTATCCAACCCCTCAGCCTCCCAGAACACTGGGATTATAGGTGGCAACACTACACCAGCCCCAATTCCTTAACATTCTCTCTGTCTCTCTCCTCTGTGTGTGTGTGTGTGTGCGCGCGCGCGCGCGTACATCCTGTTCTGTGTCTCAGGAGAACCCTGACTTATATACCATGTTTTGTTTATGCATTCATCAGTTGATGGACATTTGAGCTGTTTTCACGTTTTGGTTATTGTGAATGCTGCTGCTAGCAACATCATGTGCAAGTCTTTGTATGAACATATGTCTTCAGTTCTGTTTGTATACCTAACAATGGAATTGCTGGGTCAGATGGTAACTATATTTAACTTTTTGAGGGACCGCCAATTTTTCCGAAGTGGCTGTACCCATTTTACATTCTCACCAATAGTGTATGGAGGCTCTGATTTCTCCATGTCCTTGCCAGCACTCGTTTTTATGCATCATGTTTATAATGTCATTTGGTATGAATGTGGTTAAAATGATATCTTCCAGGTTTCTGCATAGGAAAATTAATAAGCATTTTTGTGGGGAGCTACTTTGAAGCTATATAAATATCCTGTTCCTCATAAAACTTGGGTTGACTAGTTGTAGCCTTCTCTGGGTTAGTTATTCCTGTAATTACCAAATGGGGACTTTCTTATTCCATCATTATTTCTACACTTATAATTGGTATTCTACTATAAGGTAGAGTGTTTCCTTCTTCCCCAGTTTTTTTTGTTTTTTTTTTGAGACAGAGTCTCATTTTGTCACCCTCAGTAGAGTGTCATGATGTCCTACTTTACAGCAACCTCAAACTCTTCGGCTCAAGTGATCCTTTTGCCTCAGCCTCCTGAGTAGCCGGGACTACAGGTGCCCGCCGCAACACCTGGCTATTGTTTCTAGAGATGGGGTCTCGCTCTGGCTCAGGCTGGTCTTGAACTCCTGAGTTCAAGCAATCTACTTGCCTTAGCCTCCCAGAGTGCTGGAATTTATAGGGGTGAGCCATGGTGCCTGGCCTGGTTTTAATTTTTATAACCTTTTTTCTTGGTAATAAGAGTAAATGAAACAAACATG